ATAATTCAGAAGACAATAATATCATATGCCTACTTGTACAATTTTTCTGAAGTACAAGCAGATATCCCTTTTTTTAACTCATTGATTCCTGTTGCATCAGTATGAATAAAACAGTAATACATCGTTAAAAAATTGTCGTTTGTTTTAATCTATCAGAAGATTATTGATTGATTTTCATTTGGCGGTATTATTAAAACAAATTATTATTGGAAAAGAGATATAAATATGATTATTAACAGCACTTGAGATATCCTCAAGTTGTATAATAACACTGTAATTAATCGTATTTCTTTTCATTCCATACAGCAAAAGCTAATACTATATTCTTCAATTTTTAACAAAAATAGAATTCAAATTATGATTTGAGTTATTGTGTTCATATGTATTATATTAGATTAATTTAAGTTTTTGATTTGCGAATAACGTAATTAGGAATATGCAAAATTTGCGAAACAAAGAAAAAAAACAAATTATTACAATAGCTCAAGCTCTTATTTACATAGTTTTTAATTTACAGAAACATATCCACGTGACCCACGTTCAGAAACGTCATCATAAGCTTAAAGCTCTTTTGACGCTTTATGCAAATTTGATGCACATTAATTGAATGTGATAAATTTTTTTGAAATGCTCTTTGTGAATTTTGAAACTATCATAATTGTGAACAATTTACTAAAAAGTTGTCATTTAAAACGTTAAATCACGTGCGTAGATTGCATAACTTAGAATACATTATATTATTTAAATATCATAAAACTTTGTCAATTTTACTTTGTTGCAAATTTTGTAATTTTGATTAATATTGCTATAAACTTTATTGTTATTACAATTGGTATAATTGTTATTATGAAGATTATCTTTAGCATTATTACTGTTATTAATATTTATCAATATGAACTTTGTTGTTCTTCCAAATTCGCAACCGTTCTATGTGTACAAAAAATTTTAAACTAATTCCTAAAGTCTTGAAGAATTCACATTTCTCGCCCTAAAAGGCAAACGTTTTTATGTCTTTTATTGTTAAATACTTTAGAAAGATGTACAAACTTTAACTATTGCGTAAATGAGGAAGCACTAATCTTCAGAAATTGACTGAATAACGTAAAGTAACGTAAAATGACGTAAGATCATACTAGCATTTTTGCTTTCAAAAGATTTACGATAAATTGCACAAACAAATTGGTTGAATTTATTTATTTTTGTCTTGAATTTTTTGTCAATTTATTTAGCTTATCAGATATCAAAATATGTATTAATTGTGTATTATTTTCGATTGGTCAGTTATTACATTTTTGTATAGCATATTAACCCATTACTGTAAGTCGTTATATGCTGTCATTCTGAAATTGACTTTTTATTACACGAATTAGACTTCCTATGTATAATTATTAAGTCATAAATTCGTATTTTGCAAAGTAATTTAATTTGTCTGAAGATAAGTTTTTTTTGCTTAGAAACATGATCTTTAAATGTAGGCATTTTTTTGTGATGAAAAGTTAATTATACTTATCTCAGATTAAATAAATAATTAGATTAATCCAATTTGAATTCAGTCTTCCCAAAACAATCAGTGATAATTTAAAGCAGTATTTACAAAATTTTTGTACATCAGTACTCAGAAATCTTCTTAAGAAGTATTTTTATTGAAGTCGCATGGTTAATTCTTTCTTTCTGTGTTAATTTTTTTTAATGAAATTATTTGATTACTGGATTCACTGATAAACTTTTTTGAGTTATATTCTACTGTTATTATAATATGTTGCAAATATTGAAGAATAAAGTTTAAATATTTGGCGCAGTGGTCAAATAATCAGTCCTTATTTAAAAAATTATAAATCAAGAAAAAATCAATAAAAAAAGCTAAAGTTATAATTTTTAATTTCCTATACAAATACATAATTACAATATTCTATACAATTAGTACACAGAATATTTTTTATACTATAATTTTACCTCTATATAAAAATTTTTTACAGTTTCTATGCCAAATTTCTAATAAATACTTTAATATGAAAATATAAGTATAAATCAAATAATTGCAGGGATAAATCCACCAACCAAAGCTTGTAACCAAATATCTCACTGACCTCAGAACTGTACCAAAGTGTTCTTGAAAGTCCTACCACAGTTTCTCAGTTCATTGCATTACTCTGTTAATCAACAAAAATGCATTAATACATATTACTTGTTAAAAATGCAAAAGTAACGAGCATTGTAATTAAAATCAATTTTAATTTCAGTAATTTTGTTCAGTGAAAGAACTTGATACAATTTAATTGGAATTTTTCTCTGAACTGAAAGTAATAAAAAATTATGATTTTCTCTAAGACTGCATAATTTAGTACTTTACTAATTATGGAAATGATTGGTTTGACGCAACTAATTTATGATCTAAAATTTAATCTAGTACAATTTTAGGTCAGCCTGTTATTTATAAGTTGATATAATAATAGGTCAACAGTTCTAATACATAATATTCTATACTGAATATAAATAAAGATTACTCATTCGATAATGCTATTACCATTTACACACACATTTACACCTGCAATAATGTAAACTTAGTCTTGCCATACAACTAAAATAGAAGGATTCACAAAATTGTACTACTCGTAGTTAACTTTTGTCATATTTATTTACTAATATTCAAAATTCCCGTATATTATTTGAATTATTATTAAGAATTATATTCGAATCAAAACTAAAATGCCTTATTGATTTGCTAATATGTTAGGCTTAGCAGGAAAATTTCAACGACGACGAGATTCTGAACTTATGCAAGGTTAAATCTCCTAATATATCATATCTTCATACTGTGATCAACAATAATTGTTTATTATTTTGAATAATAAATTAAAAACTTTTAGCTTTTTTGCTTAATTATTGCATTATTTTTACAAATATGCAATAAAATTGCGGCATAAAAATATAAATTTGTCAAAATGCAAATATTAAAATAATAAAATTTTTAGTTTAGAAAAATACAAAATAAAATAATACAAAATGAAAAGTAAACCATTTTTATGAGAACACAATAAGAAATGTTTTAATATTTTTTACACTTTTTTATATAATTCAAAAGTTTTTGCTTAATTTTGTCAAATTTTCTATTATTGTGTTATACAATAATGACTTATTAATTTTTCGCTGAATTTACTGTATGGCATCAATTGCAAAGTTGCAGAAACTTGTTTAGCATCTAATCCGAAAATTAGCTCTTCGAGGCTGCAAAATGAAACAGATAGAAGATATACCAGTAGGTCAGAACCAAGGACAAATCAGGTCATTAGTAAACCGGATGTTTTCTCAGGTCACCAGTCTATAACATTTGGCCCATTAAACAGGTTTTTAATATTTCTGAACTTTAACCTTTCATATTTTGACATTAAAATAGTTTTACAAATTTGAAAAATAATAAATAAATCCTCCATAAAATTTTTTAAAATAAAAATTTTTACAATACTTTTTTATTAGCTCAAAAATAATCAAAATGATAAGGATTTGGTAATTAATTCAGTTACTTTTATATTCATAAATGAACCACAGGTAAAATGAATTAAATAAAATTTTGAATTATATAAAAAATTAATTAAAAAATGTCAAAGCTTTCTAAAACATAACTTTAAATGTAAACTATTTAGCAATTTTTTTATCTACAAAAATATTTGCATAATTTTTATTCTAATTTAAATTATATAAATAATTTTACTAAAAATGACGTTTGCTTTTTCTTTTTTCTTCACAGCCATAATTGGAATTTAAGTAAATGAATCTTTGCTTATTTTACGTAACTTTTTTATCATACAAAATATATTTAATTCTTTTATTCAAATTTTTTATTTCAATTTAAAATTGGGCAACTCTTTTTTGAAAAATTATGCAAAAATTTGTCCGGAAAGAGTTGAATAAACGAAAAATGAAATAAGAGAAAATTTTATATAAATTGAGGATTTTCGGTAGGATTAGGTAAAAGTAATGTGATATTAATACTGATAGGTCATTCTCTATTGTATACAATAATTCAATTTTCTTTACTAATATCAAAACGTATACAGAACTGAAATTTTTTACCTTTTTCATATTAGACTATTTAACTTTCCTACGTGTTCTGTTCAAGTGCCAGCACTTCTACACTTTGCATCTTCAAGTAAAAATGAAGTAAGTTTACTTTTCTTGAAGCTAAATCTACAATTGCTAAATTTTAATAAATATTTTAAATTTTACTTAATTCTTATTAATTAAGTGCTTTTACAGCAGTAAAAAACGACTCATTTGTCTGCTTATCAGTGTATCTCTATTACTTGTACTACTCGTTATTATTATGGTGGTAGCGTACGCCACGAAAGGTAAAGATACTAACTGATTGTATTATTTAAAAGTAAAAACGTTGCTCAAACGTATTTGAAAACCAAGCATTTTTTTAAATTAATAGAAATATGAAGTTTCTAAGATGTAAATTGCATTTGAATTTGAATTACAATTTCTTGGAATAAAATTACATATATCCTTTTGATCAACATTTTATCATATTGATTAAATCAAACTGATAGCTTACAATATAAGTTATCATTTTCTATTTTTATCAAGAAATGCTTATAAGTGAGAGGATTATATTAAAAAATAATAGGAAAAAATACTTTAACAAACAAAATAAGCAGTGGATTTTTGTTGAACAATTCAAGTGAACATAATTTTATTAAAAAGCCTTTTTCAGTGCTTATCATCAAATTTCCATCTTCAAAAGATTCGAACGAATACACAAAATATCCATTTGTAACTTTTAGTCCTTTATCTGATTACTTTACATTACAATCAATTCCAACACATTTCCCTAATTGGTCACCTTTGACCCGTCCTGCGCTAGCAACAAGATCAAAGCCAATAGGTCAACTTCGTGGTCGTACTTTTCTTTGCCAAATGTACATATTGAATCAAGCCAATCAAGTTTATGCAAATCACCAGCAATATGAATACCATCAAGCAACTCAAATGATTCTCAACGCTGTAAAATCTTTCTTCGCATATGTATTTATATGAAACTAAGAAATTAATTTTAATCAAGATTTTGTCACTTCTTAATAATCAATGCAGTAATCATAAATTATTAAAAATGTTCATTTCGAATATTTCAATTTTTTCGAATATGAAGTAGCTTAAATGTAAAGATATCCCATGAGAATTCGTAATGACTGATTAGATTTTTAGGCTGAATTATTGTAAATTTTGAACACATAAATGTACTAATTATCGGTTGTATGAATTTTTCGTGTGATTTGTTTTTATAAGTTAATTTAAATTGCGGTAAAACCATTTAAATAAATTACTTTTTTTGAGATATTTGAACTAAATTTCAATGATATGCAAATTTATTATTTATGAGCACTTACCTACAAACTTTCAAAGCAATTATGCCAAACTGAAATAAATTTGTTTCAGATTTACAAACAACTGAAGCAATCAAACTTGCAACCCTATCTTGATCACGTACAAGTTTGGAATTTACGTGATAGGTAAGATTAATAGCCCTTATTTTCTACAATAAATATCATTTCTCATATTTATATGGTATAAACTTATTACTTGTTTTTTTTTAAATAGTGGTTCGGATCTTTTGGTCGAATTTTCAATAATTTTGCTTGTTCCATCACATGTTGAAATTGACGTAACAACCGTCAAAAACGTCTTGTTGAGCATTTTACCAAATTTGGAAGAAGAACTTAATGGCACTCAGATAGATCCGGATACCATTTCAGTGAATTACCTTAATTTCCAAGGCTAACTGTTCACGTGTGCTGTTAACATTTCACGATATAAATTTTATTATTTGATAATAAGCTTATTTAACAAGTATCAATTACTCTAATTTGTAAAATACATAAGTTAGAAGTTATTGAAAATAATTTTGAATTTTTTAAGAATTATTTCTAATAATTTTCAAAGCTATAAGACGACGAATAACAAAAATTGATATCAAGCACTTCAAGAAATTAAGACAGTTTGTAAATATTTAACGGAGAATACAAAATTTTCAAAAATTTTATTACCGATTCGAAAGTAAATGTAGAATATAAATAACTAAATTTAATATATTCAAATGGGCAAATTGTGATTTTATGGGCTTTCTTGATTTGTTATTATTATTCAAGTACTGAATAAAACTACTAAGCCATTTTAAAACTTTTACTGATAATGATAAAATTACAAAAAATTATCGTTGTTGAAAAAATCTCTTAGTGTATTTGAAGTTTTTGAATAAAGCTATTTTGCATAAAACGATTTTGTTGGACATTTTTTCAGCAAATTGAGCATTCTAAAACATTTTTTAGTTAAAAAACAAAAATTATTTATAAAATTAGCCAGATAAATAATGAATTAAATGTTTTAATAATTTGTATTTAACAATTCGGATTAATATTTCAAATTTGAATGCAATTTCCAAGTTATTTAACTAAAAAGTATTGTAGTAGGAAAAAAACAAAGTTAGACATTACTTATTTACTTAAAACTTTTATTTGTCATAAAATACATTGTTTACTTTCATTTTAATTTATTATAAGTAAATAAAATTGTAAGGCATATATTTGATAGCAAACAAAACAAGTTCTTCTAACAATGATTATTTTAGAACATGCTATCATACAAACTTAAATTCAATTATCAGTAAGCAAAAATTTACATAAAATTTTTGCATATTTATTAAGATATGAAAATGCTTTCATGAAATGTTTTATTTTATTAATAAGGTATTTTTTTTAGATACAAAATAAAAAGCGGATAAAATAACACAAATCATAATGCTAAACAATTTTGGCAGTTTTTTTTGTTTGTTTTGTACATGCATATTTTACAGCGAATAAATAATAATAATAATAATAATGTTTAGCCAAAGGCAATATGTACAATAAAGCTTGCAAAAAAAAAAGCTTTGAGAATAGATTAATACATTTAAGACTATACGTGATTTTGATATGAAACACGTTAAATCCTCAAAATACGTATATTTTTCATTGATTGTTGATTGCTAAGCGTCTCATTGGGTTGTAATGGTATAGAAGATTCTAAATCACGTAAAATTATCAGTCTTTCACCTTTATCCAAACTTTTATCATTTTTCAAACGTTTGAATGCGTTACTAAGCGATATGCCAAATTGTGATAACAATGTACTGCAGCAACAACCACAACACCTGCAAGCAAGACATAATTTGCATACATTTTGTAGAGAAATAATTTCTACCAATAATTTAATTAAGTATATATGTATATATGAATATTTCAATCGCTATAAATTCACTGATTACTGTAAAATGGCAAATGAAAAAAAAATTATTATTACATGATTAAAAATTAAACAGACGTCTTTACTCTTTAAATTAAGCAATTCCAAATTTAATAACTTTATTAAAAATCGCCTCAAGTATCTAACTAATTATTAATATTGTTAATAAGTCAAGTATTATTTTAAAATGGACAGATTATTTTGAGCAGCTTTAATCTTGTTACTTTTATATTTTGGTGAATTATTGAGGGGCACTTGAAGCTGAGTGCTTTATAATTTAATTCACTGTTTTGTTTTCAAATGATTACATTTAAGTAAGCTTAAAGTTAAAATATATCGTTGATCTATCCACTTAGAGCTTATTATTTACACAAAAAAAATAAAGTAAGTATTGAGTGGATAGATCAACATGTTCTGATCATACTTTTTACTCATTTGCATAGTTCTAAAATAGTTTGCCTTCTTCTCAAAATTACTTTATAAAGTTAAATAAAACGATCAAGGGAACAATCTAATTTTTTCGCCAAAAAAAAAATTAAGTTTTCTGATATTAAATTTATTTTAAATTCGTAAACTTTGTAAATTTTGATTTTTAATAAAGTAAGAAATTGAAACTGAGATTATAATTTTTGTTTTTCAACTCTCGTAATCATTAAATCAATCAATCAATCAGTAAATCAATCAATCAGTTAAATATTTTTGATCAAATTTTATAATCTTTAATATTTATTGTTGTTAATCAGTAATGCCAAGTAATCAAGAATTTTCAATTTATTTCATTTCGTTTATCAGAAAATTAAAACTGTTGAGAATAAGTGTATACTGAGCTTAATTGATACATATTAATTTGGATGATTTACCCTGAGACCACAAAGATGTAAGTGAGACCAAGCACCGTGATAATGAATATTATTGGAGCAATAATATTCTTGAAGATCCATGAGCAAGCTTCAGCAAGTTTGGCAAGAAGTTCATCAAAGCCATCATTAACACGATTTGGCACTTCTGAGAAAAATCCCTCCACCTAAATTGATTATAAATAAATAAATTATTTTTCAAATCTTTTACTGACAAAATTTGTTATTTTTTAAATAAAATAGACAGTTAATCATATTTAAAGTTATTTCAAATCGACTGCGCAATGGAACTGCTCTAAAGCCAGCAATCTTTCATACTAATTAAGCAATTAATATTTGTCAAATCCGTTTCCTAGCATGATTATTGTTATCCATACTGTTTGTTTCGTCGATAAGTTTGGCACAAAATTATCTTTTACGTTTTTCACGTGAGATTAACTAGGCTTATGTATTTTTATTTTTTCCATCTTTTTAAAAAGTATGCGAAAAAAAATTAAAATTTCTGCGTTATTTCATGCAAAAATCAGTTCTCTGCATGAACTATTATTAAATTATGCAGTAATACTGAATACTTTACAAAATTCAGAGTTTAAAATAATTATTGATACGTTTACTTCATCACCAGCTCCACGTAAAGTTGTTTCAGCTGTTTCCATCACGGTTGCTTTTAATTTTTCACCGCTTGTTTTAAGATTACTCGCAACTATATCCAAAACATCTTTAGATCGTTCGACAAAATCTTGCGCATTTTCAATTTTTTTATGAAG